CCAGACATCTGTAATCTCCCTCCGGACTTCATCCCTTAGCTCTTGCATATTTCTCTGCAGCTCTGTCAGCATGTTTATGATTTTTATTTTGAATTCTTTTTCAGGGAGACTGGTTAGGTCTGTGTCTGCAGATCCCCTCTCAGGTGTTATCTGAACTATCTTGGACTGGAATAAATTTTTTTGCCTTTCATGGTGATAGGCAGGTTGCGGGTGTGTCAGCTGGGAGAAGAAAGTCCTTTCCTGCTTGCTGGATGCCTTGCCCTTCTCCGCTGCCTGTGTCAGTTACCCACACTCCTGGAGCAGCCACTGGGTTAGTCCCCTAAGCTGCTGTGGGTGGGGTCTCCATCAGAGCAGCGCAGAGCCCTGCAGGGAGTGGCAGGCACGCCAGGTGCCCTCCTCCCTGATAGCGGGAGGCGGCTGTGTGCCAGCAGCGGCCTTTGGGTCTGGCCCGGGTGGCTGTGCATTGGGCTGGGATTCCGGTCCGCTGCTGGGAGCGCACCAGTTCCCTCTGGCTCCGCTGCAGGTGCGCGCGGGGCTCTCCCGTGTGGGCCTCTACTGGGCTCCTCTGACTCCACTGCCGCCGGTACGCACGAGCTGCACCCGGGCTGTTTGGTCGCTGCCGCTGTGGGCTCGCACAAGCCTCCTCGTTCCCTCTGGTGCCATTGGCGCACGCGATCTGCTTCTGGTCCCTTCCGGTGCTGCCGCCCCCAGCACGCGCTGCCACTCTCCTGCTACTGGGCTGGTGTGTCGGGGTCTGTGCCAGTTGGAGGAACGACTGGCAGGCTGCTTAGTGCCGTGAGGGGCTTCAGAGCTGCGCTGCCTCCTGGGGTTTAGGGCGCCTAAGGTTCCCTGGGATTCCCAGCTGCTGGCTAAGTGTGCCGGGATGACTTCGTGCAGCTATGGGGTCCCTGTCTCTTTAAGACTTGCAGAAAGCACTCACTTTTCTTTTGTCTCAGGGCCGCCGGTTGCGGGGACCTGCCCACAGGTTTTGCTTTTCCGTTTCTCTAATATCCAGTACCCCGTGCACCTTGTGTTTGCGTTGCAGGTGCGGATTTCTAGAGCTAGTTGTTTAGCAGTCCTGGGCTTTCACTTGCTTCCTGTTCCAACTCCTTTCTTCCCGCTGGGTTTTTGGGTGGGGGAGTGTTTGGGTCCTGCCTGGCCACGGCTTGTATCTTACCCCTTCGTGTGATGTTGAGTTCTCACAGATATAGATGTATACTGGCTGTTGTACTGCATCCACTGGTGTCTCTTTTAGGAATAGTTGTATTTATTGTATTTTCATAAATATATATGTTTTGGGGAGGAGATTTCCTCTGAACTACTCATGCTGCCATCTTCCTGTGATCCCTCTCAGGAAAAGTATTTTTAAACTTTTATATCCTTTAGCCCCCTCATTCCCTTAATCTGAGGAAATTATGAGGTAGGTTGACTGTTATAGAACAGAAAAGTTCAGTTTAGGAATCATTAAAGTTTTAATGCTACAAGGGGGTCTTAAAAAATCAGGTGGTGTACCAACTTTACATTTCCCTGTATGGCCCCGGAAGACGACTGGTTAGCCAGAGACGGGTAAGATTCCTCAAGGGAGGAACAACCTAAGACAGGCACAGTCGTAGGGGGGCCATCAGGTGAGAAATTGGGGATCAACAGAGGTGAGGCTTAGAAGCTCACCCCCAGTGTTTCGAGAGAAATCTGCATCCGTGGATGTTTTGTGGCCCTTGTCGAACTTGGATTAATACTTAGTCTATAGGCACACACCTGATCATCTACATTTGCCCTCTTACAGCACTAAATTATGTTTTCTACCTTTATCTTGCATCTACCTACCACTCCAGCATTTTATTAAAAAATAATAATAATAATAATAAGGGAGAAATGTGGGATTCACATATAAATCAAGTATAAAAATCGAACAAATAATCATATCTGACTTGATTGTTTATAGTTCATGATGCATGATCAAAACTGAAAGTTTCTGTGATATGACTGCCCTTGTACTGTTCACCATGTAAGAACTTATTCACTATGTAAGAACTTGTTTACCATGTAAGAACTTGTTCATTATGGTTCAGAAGATCGGAGACTGTTGAGAATTAGGCTTGGGGTTGATTAATGATTGTGCATTGAGTCCCCTATACAGAATTTTATTGTTGTTAACAACCATTTGATCAATAAATATGAGAGATGCCCTCTCAAAAAAGAAAAAAAAATCCAAATAATCTGAAAAGTAACCCAGTGAATGTGGAACAAATCAAAAACACTTAAGATAATAGAGATAAACTCAAATATGTCAGTACATATGCTAAATGTAATATGCTAAGGCTCCAATTAAGAGACAATGTCAGGCTGAATTAAAAATAAATACCTATATGGATAAAAAAAAATAATCAGGTGGTGAAATCCCTAGATGGGGGATCTAAGTCTAGAAAGATTAAGTGGCTTAAATAAAGTTACTGTCAGAGTTGGAGCAAGAAATCCTATCATTTGACTCCCAAGTGCAGAGCTCCCTCCTCCTGCTTTGCCTCCCTTAAAAAAAAAGTAAAAAGGAGCTAGATTTGGTGGTGATGCAAGGATGCTCGTGACACCACTGAAGCACTTCTCCGATGTTACATGCCACGCTCCTCAGGCCTGCAGCTGTGCCAGTGCTCTGCCTTGTTCTAGAAAGAAAGCCCTCCAGCCCAGCCACCAGTGGAGAACAGAATACCTGGGTAGCTTTGCATCTCTCTAATCAGCTCTTCATTATTTTGCCAATTTCCACATTATAAAACAAATCTTCTGTAGTTCAGTGTTACATGGAAATGAAATCCAGTTAGGTGAAAATATAAATGGTTGGAGTCACTCTCCTTAGCATGAAAAATCCAGAGCTGATAATTTTGAAAATTTGTTGTACCTATACTTTTCTTTTAGACTTAGGTTCACTTAGGAATTCTCTATACCTTAAATATTTTCACCAGATATTCAGATAACTGTAACAGGATGGCGTGTTCTTTGCCAAAGAACTTGCATCCTAGGACCTATTATTAAAACTTAATTGCACCACTACATAGTTTCTCAGTGGTCATGAGTTATAGCAGTATAAAACATGCTGGGGCCCACCTGCTGTGTGTTTTATTTGTTTGTTTGCGAGTTAAGTGCTATTCCTCTTCATTTCTATGGGGAGAAATAGTTAAGAAGGGGTCTGAGTGAAGAGAGAATCATTATTTGGCACCCAAGACAGGGAAACCAATTTTCAGTGTACTCTTCTACCATTCCCAACACATAATGAAGCACTCCTGATTTTTACATGACAGCTGTAGGAGATAAAGGTTTTAGAAAATCAAAAGATAATGTGAAGGGAATTTTTAAGAGAGTGGATCATAGTAGTTGAAGCTAAAAACATAGTAGATATGTAAACTCAGTATAAAGTATTGTCATCAAATAATGTGTTACTCTTAACAGACACAATAGCAAATATGGGCTGTTGTGCAAATGGGAATGTAAGGAAGCACCTTGGGTCAGACACAGTAGTTTAGAGGTTACAGGGGACATGGGGTACATCTCATTAGACATGCTAGTGTTCCTTGTCTTAGTTTCCAGTTCATTTCAGTACTGCTAGTGAAGTAACTGGTGTTTTTCGCTCAAACTGTGCTTTAGTGTTTGGCTTTTATTTTAGTGACCAATTTGAGAGGTTTTTAATGAAATAGCATGCTTTTGCCTGTAGATTTTTTGGAAATTATGTAATCCACATATGTATTAAATTCTGCTGTGTGTTAGATGGCATGAATATAAATAGCAGCTTAACTGAGAAAAGTGAGCCCTGATGCAGAATGTAATGGAGTATTTCTTGTTGATTTTTCTCCTCACTTTGAGAGGAGACCATAAGATTGTCTGTATTTTAAAAGCTGGTGTTTGGACCTCTTAGGTGGACATCCCCACAACTGGACAGCCATTTCAAGGGAGTGTTTGAATCTTTTAAATGATATGACTCAGAAATTGGTTCTCTACCAAGAAGCTGCTGCTACTAATGGGAGAGTGATGTCTTCCTCATACCCAATGGAACCTAAGAAATCAAATTCTCCAGGTAACTTCTTGTATTACTAAGAGAGGGGAGAGCATTTACCTTTTATTTTCTAGGAAAGAAAGCAGTAGTTAATCTAACATTATGTATATGAGTGTGAGGTATATATTACACACATATATATTCACATATATACACACATATTGAATATGTATATATACATATAGTATACATGTGTGTGTATATATATGTATTTGTGTATGTGTGTGTGTGTGTGTGTGTGTGTGTGTGTGTGTATATGTATCCAATATATGAGTTCTTGTACTGAACCAAGAAAAAGGGCTGGGTGTTATTGTAGAATGTAAAAATTAAGTCCAGTAGGTATGTAAACTCTCAGCATAAAGTATGATCATTATCAAACAATGTGTTACTCTAGCAGATATAATAGCAAATAGGGGTTGTTACACAAATGATATGTAAGAAAGTACCTTGTGTCAGACGTATTTCTTGTCTTTTTGATAGTTGGCTATTCTGGATTTACAGATTCAATGCCATCCCTATCAGAATACCAACAGCATTCTTCAACGAACTAGAACAAATAGTCCTAAAATTCATATGGAACCACAAAAGACCCAGAATAGCCAAATCAAGCCTGAGAAAGAATAACAAGCTGAGGGGATTATGCTCCCTGACTTCAAGCTATACTATAAAGCCAAAGTGATCAAAATAGTATGGTACTGGCACAAGAACAGACTCATAGATCAATGGAATAGAATAAACCCAGATATAAACCTATGCATATATGGTCAATTAAGATATGATAAAGGAGCCATGAATATACAATGGGGAAAAGACAGTCTCTTCAATAACTGATGTTGGGAAAACTGGACAGCTACATACAAGAGAATGAAACTGGATTACTGTCTATTTCCATATACAAAAGTAAACTCAAAGTGGATCAAAAACCTAAATGTAAGACATGAAACCATAAACCTCTTAGAAGAAACCATAGGCAAAAATCTCTTGAACATAAGCATGAGCAATTTTTTTCTGGACACACCTCCTCAGTCAAGGGAAAGAAAATAAAAAATCAACACCTGGGACTACATCAAACTGAAAAGCTCTTTACAGCAAAGGCAAATACTTGTATGCCTCAGCACCAAAAAAACAACTCAAAAAAGTGGCAGAGGACCTGAACAGACTTCTCCAGAGAAGAAATACAGATGAGCAATAGGCACATGAAAAGATGCTCCACATCACTAATCAGGGAAATGTAAATCAAAACCACAATGAGATAGCATCTCACACCAATTAGAATGGCCACTATCCAAAAGACAAGAAGTAACCATTATTGGTGAGGATGTGGAGAAATAGGGACCCCTCTACTCTGTGGGTGGGAATGTAAATTGGTGCAGCCACTGTGGAAACCAGTGTGGAGGACTAACAATAGAAGTACCTTACAACTCAGTAATTCTACTTCTAGGAATTTACCTGAAGAAAACAAAATCCCTAATTCAGAAAGATATACGTACCCCTATGTTTATTGCCTCGTTATTTACAATAGCCAATTTATGGAAGCAACCTAAGTGTCCATCAATAAGATGAATGGATAAAGAAGATATAGTACATATACACAATGGACTATTATTCAGCCCTAAGAAAAAAAAATCCTGCCATTTACAACAATATGGATAGACCTAGAGGGTATTGTGCTATGTGAAAGAAGCCAGGCAGAGAAAGACAAATACCATATGATTTCACTTACTTGTGGATTCTAAAAACAAAACAAAACAAAATGAACAAAATAGCAGTAGACTCAGACACTGTGAGTGACTGGTAGTTCCATGAGGGAGGGGCTGAGGTGGGCAGGTGGGGAAAGTGAGGGGGTTCTCAATCATAACTGTATCATGAGGATAGTACAGCATGGAGAATATAGCCCATTGTTCTGCAACCTATTTCCATGTTCACAGGTAGTAAAGGCACTAGTGTGGGTGAGCATTTAATAATAAGGGCAGCTGTTGAACCAGTGTGTTGTGTATTTCAAACCAACAAAAGGTTGTGTATTGATACTTGAATTTTAAAAAAAGTATTAACACTAACTGAATCCACACTGGGGAGGTATTATGTCGTTTATTACTACAAAGGAAAAAAAATCTGGCTTATTGACGTATGTCCATTGATGAAATTTCCTGGTAGAAAGTAGCCTTATATTAAATCCATTTAGAAGGGCAATAAGAAAACAAAAAACAAAAAAAACCTAATAAGATGTTGGTCATCCTGTAGAAGACTTAAGGTTACTTTAGTACAAAGCCAGGTGAATCTTTACAGATACTCCTGGATACTGTTCTGGTTGTAGTATACTAAAGACAAAAAAGTTACTGGATTATGTCAAGAGGGGAACAGCTGACATGACTGAGTGAGTTGTTGGGTAGAGGCATCATATTCATTGTTTTAAGATAGCTTAATGTAACATTTGGGGGATGAAAGCAGAGAGGGAGAAGTACAGGCAGAGGAGCCTGTGCAATTTCACCAAGCACTTCCAATAGAAGATGGCCTACGAGTGTAAGGCTGATAAAAGGAATTAATGTTCAGATGCCTCTTGAAACCAGACGTTTAAAGAAAATGAGGGGCCCTGACTGGGTGAGAGCTGTAGGGAACTTGGGAGCACAGGCTTCATCTGAACGGGAAGCTGTGGGTTAGCTTCAGTCCATTGTTCCTTGTGGGACTTTGGGTCTGGTCTCTGAACTTCTGGTCTTTTTTTTTTTTTCAAGTGTAGCCTGAAATCTAAACAAATTTTGGGTGAAAGATTTCACTTGCTAAACATTGGCACCTAATCTTGATATTAAAAAATCTCTAGATGGGCCAAAGCAAACATGTCTCTGTCTTTGACTTCATTAGTCTGGAGGGGTCGTAGACCAAAAACAAAGATTACAAATGAAAAATGATTCAGATAAATTCATGAATGTCATATTTTAAAAGATTCTAGACTGTTTCAGATATTATCAACATTCAGATTAGTGTTTATTTATTCAACAAATATTTATTGGATGCCTACTACCTACCAAGCAATGTGCTAGAAGCCAGATAATCAAAGGTGGAGAAACACTCTTGGAACTAAAATTTTATGGGAGGCACACAACACAAATAATTGTGACAATTGTGATAATTGTCAGAAAGGAGTCTGAATGATACTTGTTAATGAAAGGAGGCCTTGTATGTTATGAATAGTTTAAATTTATCCAGGAGGGATATGGAACCATAGGAGAATTTTGAATATGCATGTTACATTAAATTAGCATGTTAGAAAGATCAATTTGTAATACTGGGTTCAGGGCTGGGGGAATCATGGACCTGACCAAATACGAATTAGTCATTATTTTAAATTACTGTCATATCCCATCACTCAGTCAGAATTTGCCTCCAATACTGAGGAGTTATTTCAAAAATTAAAAAAGCCCCAGTCTTTTTTTTCCTGGAATCTGGGATCATCTTAATTTCTCTGAGGAAACTGAGTCCTCAGAATAAAGACAGATGAGAAGACAGATAAAAGTTAAGTAAAATGAGAATACAGCAGTAAAATGTTAAGTAAGTAAAATGAGAATACAGGTCTCTTACTCTGATTCGATGCTCCGCCTCAGTGACGTCCACTCATAAAATCTCTGTTGAAAGAGTGGAGGACATGAAAAAGTCCCAGTCTTAATTTTTAAGTTGATTCTTCAAATATTTCTAATTGCCACTAACCCTTAAAAAGTCATTCAATGAAAATTTGGTCCTTTAAATGTTTGATGTGTTATAGTGGTTTTATTAAGAAGGTGCAACACTAATGTAATTTATATGTCTTTGTGTCTTATACTGGATGGCAGGAAGTATTTTTCTTGTTTTTGTACAACAGACTATTAATTGGTAGCGTTAGAGATAATTTTTGAAGAAGCTGTTTACAGGTCAGATTTGTAGCTATCCTGGGCAGATTAGTCTCTGGTGTGACTTACATTAACTTCAAAGGACTCTGGGGAAAATGGGATAAAATTAGCACTCTCTATCTGTATATTTTCACAATATAGATTTGATTTAGTCAAGTAATATTTACAGTAGGAACATGCAGTAATGCTGGATGTATTCTAATACAATAATTGTTGCCATTTAAAAATGAAATGTAAATTGCTTAGGTTCATTCTAAACAGTTTAGAGTTAGAGAAGCTGACCTTAAAGATGAAGAGAAACGAGAGGCTGCCCCAGTGTGGCAGAAAGAGATGTGTGTAAAGCTCCTTGAGTCGTTGAGTTGCAGTAGTAAAATCTGGATCTTGAGACTGTAAACCTTGGGTAAATGTGTTAAATAAAAAATTGAATTGTATAAAATTTGAGAAACCCCATGCTGGCCTGCTTGGATCAGGTTGCCTCTTCAACATTGCATCTGTTCTTTTACAGAAGAAACTACTTTTCAGACCCCCATATCTAGCCAGATGCCTCGCCCATCAATGCCACCATTAGTTAAGACATCACTGTTTTCCTCAAAATTATCTACACCTGATGTTGCAAGTCCTCTTGGAACCCCATTTAGCTCTAGTGTAGTAAATCGAATGGCTGGAATTTTTGATGTAAACACTTGTTATGGGTCACCCCAAAGTCCTCAGCTAATAAGAAGAGGACCAAGACTATGGACTTCTGCTTCTGGTGAGGACTATTTAGTTTCTAAAATTTGAAGTGTCACAGTTGCAGAGAATTAGCCTGTATTTTCACTTCTTTGGTTTTTTTTTTGTAGATCAGCAAATGACTGAATTTTCTAATCCTTCTCCATCTACCTCTGTTAACGCTAAGGGTAAGACAGTGAGACAGCCCAGTGTGATTTATTCATGGATTGAGAATAAACGTGACCAGGTAGGATGATATGGTTACAGGATTTATATTTACATGTAACATTGAGAGCATCAAGGATCTCACATGAGTAAGCCATCAGGAATAAAAAAGACTTTTTTATGCTTCATATATTAAGTTGACCCATGTGAAATTGCCAGTATTTGATTGATTTTGAGCTGTATAAATTGTAATTTCATATGGTTTAACCTAATACATCTCTGATCTATGAATTCTTTGATATAAGATAATATATATTGAGTTTTTTTGTATATTCAGGGTATGGTTTTAGGCACTGGGAAAACAGCAAACAAAAGTCCCTGAACATGTTTACATTCTAGTAATGGGAAATAGATGAGCAAGCAAATGTATTATATTTTTTGAATATAAAAAAAATGCTATTTATTGTAAGACTTATTTTATGTATTATTAAGAAAAAAAGTTGCCTGTTAAACCATGACATGCTGTTGACTACAGGATGCTTCCTGATATGTCATGTTCAAAATATAAAAAATATGTCTTAAAAGGGAAGAACATTGATGTCTTAAGTGCTATACAGAAAAATAGAGCAGGTAAGGGAGATGAAGACTAGGGGAGGAAGGACCATTTTATGTGGGATGATCAGGGGAAATCTCACTGATAAGGTGACACTTGATCAGAGACCTGAAGGGAAGGCAGGGAAGAGCAAAATGCACAGGACTTCAGGTGGGAGTGTATTAGCTTGTGTGGGGAACAGCCTAGACCCTAGTGTGACTGGAGCAATATGAGTGCAGAGAGAGTGGTAGGTGGTGATGAGGTCAGAGAAGTAGCAGGACCCAGAGTTTACTGGTCCCATCAGCTCTTGTAAAGACTGACATTTTCTCTGAGTGAAGTGGAAAGCCACTCTGTGGTTTTGCGCACAAGAATTACATGATGTAACCTTAGATTTGAAAGTGTTGCCCTAGCTGCTGTGTTGAGACTAGATTCTCAGATTCCATTAGCAGGAATGGCTGTAGAGGGACAGTAGAAAGCAGTTACAGTAATGTAGTAGGAGGTGATGGGTGATAGTATCTGTGATCGGAGTGTCTGTGGTAGAAACTGTAAGATGTGATCAAGGTCTGTGTATATTTTGAAGGTAGATGTAATAGGATTAGCTTGGGTTGTGGTGTGGGAGAGTCAATACTGACTCTTAAAGTTCTTGGCCTGAGGATCTGAAATAGTATGGTTGCAATTTGATGAATTGAAATTTACTGAGTTGCAATTTACTGATGATTCTGGAAGAGGAGATTTGATACAGGTGAGGTAGGGAGATCAAAAATTTGATTTTAGACATGTCAATTTTAAGATTCTTATTAGACAACCAAGTAGAAACACCAAGTAAGAAATTAGACATATATGTGGAGTATAAGGGAAAGTTCTGGGCTAGAAATGTAAATTTGGAAGTTGACACGGTATAGATAGTGTTTAAAGGCATGAAACTCCATGAAAACTCTTGGGGATTATAGATATCAGAAGAAAAGAGTTCCAAGAACTGAGACTTTGCAATGACTAAAGGTCTGGCAGGTGAAGAGGAATAGCAAAGGAGACCAAGTGACCATTGAGATAACCAAGAAAAGGAAGTGTTTCAAGGCTGCAGGAAAGGCTGGATCTTTCGAGGAGTTTTGCTTTGCTGTAAGGGGAGCAGAGAAATGGGGTAGTAGCTGGGGATGTTGAGGGTCAATGAGTGGTTTTATTTTTTAAGATGAGAGAAATAATGTTTGTTAACATATTTGTTGATGGAATGATCAGTTAATAGAGAGAGAAGAACTGAAGGCATTTTATGGACCTCATATGGCTCTGAATGCCGTAAATACTGCTATGTCATGAGTTCACTTTCAAATCAATTGGAGTATGTAGCTTTCAGCTTAATACTAAGAAAACTGTTTTCCCTGTAAATGTCAACTGGTAGAAAACCACTTCATGTCTTAGGATTTTTGTTGTTGTTAGGAGAAACATGCTCTTTTTTGGTATTAAGTTTAAAGGACAAGACAGGTAAAGAGAATTGAGAAAGAATATGGCCTTAGTAAGTAAATACTACCAGAGCCACTTTGAATTCCTTTTACTGTTTACAAGACTCATATGGGGGTCATGTTTAGATGTGTACACGGAGATGCAGTTTAGGTTAGGTGGCACATCTTGGTTATCCAGTTTATAGTTCAAAGGTATTTACTTACATGATCTACTGTAAATGTTGCTCTTTCTCTATAAGATGTGAAATGTTTCATTTAAGTTAGTGTCAGGAAGAACCTGGAAATGTGTAATACTATATTTGACTAGACTTGAAAACTGTAAATATGTTAATTCTTCCTTTTTTTCAACTCAGATAAAGAATTTTTTATCAAAACGGGTGCTGATAATGTATTTTTTCAGTAAGGTAAGAATATGAGTTATAGCATTGGGAATGTGGGGAGAGGAAATGAAGTAGCAGATAGGATTTGCCTTCTAAATATTTAGCTGGATCCTATCAAGCCTAAAAGCTCTGCGTGGTGCTTCACTACACCTCCATTTTAATAGTAGCTGCCTGTCTTGCCATTGGGTTTTAGCCCCGATCGAATTCACTAGAGATTCAATGAGACCATAAAAATGACAGTGGAACGTTCTTGGGGTGAAAGAGTTTATACCCAACTTTATTCCAGTGGCAGGTCATTCACTAGAATCTGGTCCACTCAGAGCATGGCTGCATGCAGCAAGCCAGTCTCTGCCTCTGGACCTCTCTGCCCCTGCAGCCGTCCCAGTCCCTGTCCTCGGTGCTGCCACCACTCCAGTCTCTGCTCTCCTGCAGCCCTGCAGATGTGCAGCAGCCACAGTGTTGATGCAGAGCAGTGGGTGGAGCTCCTTATATAGTGTCAATGACAGTGTATTTCCCATGCGTGTGTGGTGAGCAAGCCAACCAAGGCCAGGTGAGAATCCTGGCCATAGGAACCTTCACTTTCTCCACACTGCCCTAGCACACACCTTACTTCATTGGCTTCTTGAGGCTTGCCTCTAGTTAGCCTCCTGAGTCTCTTTGCTGCAGGCAGCTTCATGCTGATACACAACCCCTTCCTGCAGAATGAGCAAATTCATGGTGACCCTTTGTGGCTCATAGTCTTACTAACATCTTTGTGGCCAATTTGCTGTTCAGAAGAAAGGTGACTGGATTGAATTGCAGATGTGAAACTTGCATTGGATGAAAAGCTGTAATTCGGACCACAAAACAGTGATTTTTCAACTTGTCTGTCATCTGCTCTGGCTGCCACAGGAGAGTAAATCACAATTAAAGAACCAAAAGGTTCATTCCTTTTTTCACTGACTACAGCTGTTGTGTGTTAGTTCATTTTTCGATGAGCAAAAGCTTTGGAATGAATTTTTGTTTTATTTTTTTTTAATATAGCTTCTCTCATTTTGTAGGTATTGCAGTATTAGCTAATACTGCACACACCTTCAAGTCAAAGTATGCATTGGCATACATTATTCCTTTTTATTCTTTGGGAGTCATACTCTCGTGGGGAGACAAACTGAGTGACTCTGATGGAATATAGATACACATAAAGAGTCATTTCAACTTCTTAAAGCTTTTTTTTCACTGGTGGCAAGGAAGAGCCACCCAACTAGCAATTACCTTTACCAAAAATAATCTGCCTTAAACTATCTAGTAGCCTTTGGGAAAACTATTAGACTTCTGAAGAGGGTATCTTCTCTTCCACCAAAAGGAAGAGCTGTCTGAAGTTTTACTTCAGTGCTTTGCTTTGGAAGGATGGGAACAGAACTTACACTGTGTCTTATTTATGACATGCTCTTTTCACTTAAGTTCCCTCATCTAATTCTAACAGCAGTCCTGTGAGAAGCCTTCTTGTCCTCATTGTACAGATGAGGAAACTTGAGGCTCAGAGGGGTCAAGTAGCTAACCTAAGGGCACATAGCCAGTAAGTGGCAGAGCAAGCGCTGAATAAGATCTTCTTTTTCCTTGGAAATAAAGGGCTACTTTTGGTTCTAATTTGCAGAGTGATCTGTTGTCTGATAAGGAGTTGTAGACCCTGCTGCTCGATGTTGAGAAATGTAACAAGCCATTGTGCTTAATAGGCTTTATCGGTGCATTACCAGAGCCAGCACTGGTTTAAATTGGCCAAATGTTGCTCCATAGTGTTGCACCTTGCTATATTAAAGAAGCTTGGGTGGTTTTTTCTTTGGAGTGGGGTTGAGGGTGGACAATTTGAGGTATTATGTATTTATTTAGGCCAATCATTTGTTAAAAAAAAACATTTGTAACCATTCTCTTAAGTGACCTCTGTACCAATCCTCTGAATTGGGTTGAGCATATGTAACTCTTATTTTAAATGAGAAACTGAGCCATATGGAGACTGTAGAGACTGAGGAAGTGTCACACAATAAGTTGGTGACAGAATGCTTTATATTGCAGTTAAATTATATTGTGAAAGAATTTCAGATTTTAACTCTGGAGAGGCAGCTATGAATTTTTTATTATGATAGTCTCTATAGTCGATTAGATGAACTACTAAGAGTTTTTGCCCAGGAGAACTTACTTAAATGTTTTTGCTGTATTGTAGCACCCAGAGACCTCCATTCAGGCTGTTTTTTCAGATGCCCAAATGCATATTTGGGCATTAGAAGGTAAGCAATCTCAGTGGACTACAACTGTAATTTTAACTTTACTTCATAAGAGTATAATCCATAAAAGGACATTTCTGGATTTTGACTTCCAACGTTGAATTTTCAGATACATTTTTTAATATCTTTTATGGACATCATTTTTCTTAGATATTTAGGTGTGCAGTTAACCCTTGAGCCACACAGAGGTCAGGAGCACTGTCTCCCTGCACAGTTGAAAATCTGCATATAACTCTTGACACACCAAACACTTAACTACTGGTAGTTTACTGCTGACCAGAAACCTTACCAATAATATAACAGTCAGTTAATGCACATTTTATATGTAATATGTATTGTTACAGGAAATTACTCTTACAGTATATTATGATACATCCTTTCAATATATTTATCTAAAAAATCTGCATATAGGTGAACCCATGCAGTTCAAACCCATGTGGTTGAAGGTCAACTGTACTTTAATTTGGGCTGAAATTTTCCTTGTATATAAGTGGAGAAACTGAGCCTGGGATTCTTGCATCTCTTTCTCTACTTCAAAGAAATTGCAATGAATTGTTTAACTATCAACTTACTTTGACATAACTTACTTAACATATTTAACATTCTAACATATTTAACCTAGCCTAGATTTGAAAACTTCGTTGTTAGAGAACTGTTTTCTTTTCATCTTTTTTTAAATTTTGGTATTATTAATATAAAATCACATGGGCAACATTGTAGTTACTAGATTCTCCTGATTATCAAGTCCCCACCACATACCCCATTACAGTCACTGTCCCATCAGCATAGTAAGATGCTATAGAGTCACTACTTGTCTTCTCTGTGCTATACTGCCTTCCCCGTGCCTCCCCACGTCCCTGCGTTATGTGTGCTAATCGTAATGCCCCTTATTCCCCTTCTCCCTCCCTACCTACCCGCCCTCCCAAGTTACTTTCCCTTGGTAACTGCTAGTCCATTCTTGGGTTCTGCGAGTCTGCTGCTGTTTTATTCCTTCAGTTTTTGCTTTGTTTTTATGCTTCACAGATGAGTGAAATCATTTGGTACTTGTCTTTCTCCACCTGGCTTATTTCACTGATCATTATACCCTCTAACTCCATCCATGTTGTTGTAAATGGTAGAATTTGTTTTCTTATGGCTGAATAATATTCCATTGTGTGTATGTACCACATCTTCTTTATCCATTCATCTACTGATGGACACTTAGGTTACTTCCTTATCTTGGCTATTGTAAATAGTGCTGTGATAGACATAGGGGTGCATATGTCTTTTTGAAACTGGGATCTTGCATTCTTAGGGTAAATTCCTAGGAGTGGAGTTCCTGGGTCAAATGGTATTTCTATTTTTAGTTTTTTGAGGAACCTCCTTACTGCTCTCCATAATGGTTGAACTAGTTTACATTCTCACCAGCAGTGTAGGAGGGTTCCCTTTTCTCCTCATCCTCGCCAGCATTTGTTGTTCCTAGTCTTTTCTGTTGGCCATCCTAACTGGTGTGAGGTGATATCTCATTGTGGTTTAATTTGCATTTCCTTGATAATTAGCGATATGGAGCATCTTCTTATGTGCCTGTTAGCCATCTGAATTTCTTCTTTGGAGAAGTGTCTGTTCATATCTTCCACCCATTTTTAATAGGGTTATTTGCCTTTTGGGTGTTGAGGCATGTGAGTTGTTTATATATTTTGGATGTTAACCCCTTGTCGGATATGTCATTTACAGATGTATTCTCCCATACTGTAGGATGCCTTTTTGTTCTGCTGATGGTGTCCTTTGCTGTACAGAAGCTCTTCAGCATGATGTAGCCCAATTTGTTCATTTTTTATTTTGTTTCCCTTGCCCGAGAGGATGTGTTCAGGAAAAAGTTGTTCATGTTTATATTCAAGAGATTTTTGCCTATGTTTTCTTCTAAGAGTTTTATAGTTTCATGACTTACATTCAGGTCTTTGATCCACTTTGAGCTTTTGTGTATGGGGTTAGACAATAATCCAGTTTCATACTCTTGCATGTAGCTGTCCAGTTTTGCCAACACCAGGTGTTGAAGAGACTGTCATTTCTCCATTGTATATCCATGGCTCTGTTGTCATATATTAATTGACCATATATGCTTGGGTTTATATCTGGGCTCTCTAGTCTGTTCCATTGGTCTATGAATTTGTTCTTGTACCAGTACCAAATTGTCTTGATTACTGTGGCTTTGTAGTAGAGCTTGAAGTCGGGGAGCGTAATCCCCCCTGCTTTATTCTTTCTTCTCAGGATTGCTTTGGCTATTCAGGGTCTTATGTGGTTCCATATGAATTTTAGAATGATTTTCTCTAGTTTGTTGAAGAATGCTGTTGGTATTTTGATAAGGATTGCATTGAATCTGTAGATTGCTTTAGGCAGGATGGCCGTTTTGACAATATTAATTCTTCCTATCCATGAACACAGGATGTGTTTCCATTTATTGATATCTTCTTTAATTTCTCTCATGAGTATCTTGTAGTTTTCAGAGTATAGGTCTTTCACTTCCTTGGTTAGGTTTGTTCCTAGATATTTTATTCTATTTGATGCAATTGTAAATGGAGTTGTTTTCTTGATTTCTCTTTCTGCTAGTTCATTGTTAGTCTTTAGGAATGTGACAGATTTCTGTATATTAATATTGTATCCTGCAACTTTGCTGAATTCGGATATTAAATCTAGTAGTTTTGGAGTGGAGTCTTTAGGGTTTTTTATGTACAATATCATGTCATCTGCAAACAGGGACAGTCTGACTTCTTCCTTGCCAATCTGGATGTCTTTTATTTCTTTGTGTTGTCTGAATGCTATGGCTAGAACCTCCAGAACTATGTTGAATAACAGTGGAGAGAGTGGGCATCCCTGTCTTGTTCCCAGTCTTAAAGGAAAAGCTTTCAGCTTCTCGCTGTTAAGTATAATGTTGGCTGTGGGTTTGTCATATATGGCCTTTATTATGTTGGGGTACTTCCTTCTATACCCATTTTGTTGAGAGTTTTTATCATGAATGGATGTTGAATGTTGTCAAATGCTTTTTCAGCATCTGTGGAGATGATCATGTGGTTTTTGTCCTTTTTATTGATGTGGTGGATGATGTTGATGGAATTTCAAATGTTGTACCATCCTTGCATCCCTGGAGTAAATCCTACTTGATCATGATGGATGATCTTTTTGATGTATTTTTAAATTCAGTTTGCTAATGTTTTGTTGAGTATTTTTGCATCTGTGTTCATCAGGGATATTGGTCTGTAATTTTTCTTTTTTATGGTGTCTTTGCCCGGTTTTGGTATTAGGGTGATGCTGGCCTTGTAGAATGAGTTTGGGAGTATTCCCTCCTCTTCTACTTTTTGGAAAACTTTAAGGAGGATGTGTATTAGGGCTTCACTAAATGTTTGATTGTTTTCTTTTCATCTTATAGAGGTGCTGCCTTCTTGAATGCTTAAATGATACTTCCCCAGGGATTCTCTTCCTGACCACCATGAAATGTGTCACCAGCTGTCACTCTTCTCCTGTCATGCTTTTTCTTCCTAGCCCTTATCACTACCAAATGGAGTATTAGTTTTAAAGTCTTTTTTCCTGGAACATAAAGCAGAGACTGTCTTCTAATTTGTGACTTCTGCAGCTGAACATCTTTTCAGTGCCTGTTCCAATCTTTTGCCCAGTTTTCTTCTATGTATTACCCCATCTCTTTTATTTAGAAGTTTTTATGTATTCAGACTATTAATCTTTCTTTCTCAAATAGATGTATTGCAAATAAATTTGCCTAATTTTGATTAACTGTTAATTTTTTTTCTTCTTTTTCCCTTTGAGGTCTGTCTCACTTAGTAGCAGCTTCATTTACAGAAGATAGATTTGGAGTTGTCCAGACTACACTACCAACTATTCTTGATACTTTGTTGACACTGCAAGAGGTAGGCAGTAGGTGGGTTAAGTAGAGGTAGAGGTAGTGTGCTCCCCACCCCGTGTTTTTGTTTCTTATATATCTTACTTATGAAATAACAAAACATATGTTGGAAGTTAAAATAATGACACTATTCTTATTTTAGGAAAATTACAATCTAAGGAGGAGAAACTTTTAATTTGTAGCAACAGAAAAAAATTTTTTTATAGCATCAGAAAAAGAAAGTATACTAAATCTATAGGATATACCCCTGGTATTAATCCAATTATCTAAGATACTGGAATTCTGTTCAGTGCTATAAGATTGGATCCCTAGACAATTTTTAGCTACTCAAAATGAGCTGTAATTAAATTTCACATGCAGATAGTAAGTTACCTATTGGCCAGAGAGGCTCAAGAAGATAGAGCTGAGGCCATAGTTTTGAACTAACAAGTCTTTTTAGTACTAGACTTAAAGGCAAAAAATCAAATATATGCTTCTTGCTTTCCAATAGCCTAGCTACCTTTCCTGACTTCACATTGGGTGATATGTTTTATACCACCTTGTGATCTTGGTTGTATATCAGATGAGAGATAAACACTGAGTGTTAGTGGCATTTAGAGGTGGGGTGGGGGTGTGCAGTAGGTTTTCTGGAAGAGGTGGTATTAAACTAGGCTTTAAGGATACAATTGGTGCATCTTTTGGTCTTGGGAAGCAATTTAGGCTATGAGGAGAAAACATGTTCACTATTCCTTTTTTCAAATCTCAGTGTATTTTACCTCTTAGAAAGTCTTGTCCGTCAAAATCAATGATTTTGTTTTGTTTTGTGCTCACTTTCTCATGTATGTTATTTGAGACACATATATACACATGGGTAGTTTTATTATTTGTGCTCTTTCCCCAGCTATCTTTCTCTGAAAAAATAATTTCCTAGTATTTCCCCAAAACTTCTAATATTTGGTTTCTCTTACTGCACAATAGGGTAACCATGATTTGAGCATATCTTGGTACTTACAACATAGTTTGCTTTTTATTACTCTGGCTGTGTAGTTTAAAATAAAATAATAATATGATGCTTTATAGTCTACAGAGCAATTTCATATCATTATTTTTTTTGATTCTCATAACTATTTTGGAAAGTAAGAAAGGAGGTATGTTAAAGCCTATTTTACAGATGAAAGAGGCTCAGTAGTGTTGTGACATCATCAGGTCTCACACTCAGTTCTTGTAAGTTGCAGAGCTGGAACTTGACCCTGAGCTACTTGCAGGGCATTAGCAGTATAGTAGACCCCAGGGAATGCTGCAGATCCATGTCCCTTATTCTTTTTGAACTTGTCTGCTATCTTGCCCCGGGCTTTTTATTTTCACATAGGGTTCTCTTCAGAGAGAAAGGTTCTATCCGTAGAACTGTGGCTTTTAAACTTTTTGGATTATGACCTGCAGTAAGTTTGTATTAGAATCTATGTGTGTGTGTAAAAGAAACAGAAGAGTCTTAGAACAGTACTTAATCTTTTACTATGTACAGTCCATTCTGTTTTAAGAAAAGTGGTTGAAACTGAATTGGTTTCACAAAGATCACAGTGCTCTCTAGAGGTATTTTGCACTCAAATTATTTTCTTTTCACCTCCCCACCATCAGAATTCATAATGCTTCTTCATAGTTGTGGTTAGGTATGAGAAGGAAAACAGTATGTCTATTTGATTATAGTCATGCATATCTTTGGTTAGGAAGGTAAGAATTACAGATTTGTTGAAAATTCAGGCCTTATTTGAAACAGAGGTGTTGGAATGGAGAGTATTTTTGAGGGACGGAATTGAAAAAGGCAGAGGCATATTTTTGAGAGGTAGGAAGAGGAAAAAGGACCAAAGAACAGCACCATTGATTTGATGCTTAGCTTCTGAGGATAGAAACCCCTCCTTGTGTGAGGTTTGTGGCATGTGGTCTCTCCTCGGCCAGCTCACAGTCTGCCTTTTGGTCATACTCTGCTGATCAGATTTTACAGACTTACCTTACAGTCTTTCCTTTTCCACCACATATTCTGAGATTGACTGTATGAGTGATTCAGTGTACACGTGGGTATTTGTACCCCACCTTGGAGGCATAATCCTTTGATTTCCTCCTCTTCGGTGGACTCTCGTCTCAGCCCAGGACTGTCACCCAGCCTCATTATCTCCTGAATTCTCCAACTCCAAAGCTGAAAACTATAGAATTCTACCCTTTAAGCCAGAGTCCTTCAGCGGTTTTATGCCATAGATCCCTTTGGCAGTCTAATGAAGCCCATGGACTTTTTCTCAAAAAAATGTTCTTAAATGTGTAAAATTAAGTACTTAGGGTTAGAAAGGAGTCAATTATATTAGAGTATAATTATTATAAAAGTATTAAATTTGTGTTAGAGAAATGTGTGTTTTTTAATTAATACATTAAATAAGGTCTATCAGTGAGTCTAATAGCTGTCATCATTTTGAAGTGGTGATAAGATGAATGGTATTTCAAGATACCTGTAATAGTAATGTGACAGGAAGGTAGTGGTGATCTCTGTTGGTGACAGTGTCATAGAAACTGCTAATGCTCTGTGGTTTGTTGTTTACATTTATAATTTTAAAAAATGGTAAATTTTAATTAGAGCTTAGTTAAGTTAAATGTAATTTTTATCCCATAGTTCATGCCTCCTGAATTTTACCCATAAATCCATGGGTCCTCTTTAGAAGCCTTGGCCCAGCACAACCCTCTCATGCCCTTTCTTCTTCTGCACACTTTCTTTGTCTTTCAGCTCCTTTGTTGTTGCACATACATCTTTCCCTAAAAGCTTAGTCTATCACTTTAACCATTGTATCACTAATTCCTTCAATTCCTTGTTCCTCTGTTCTCCAGTTTGCAACCCATATGACAACCCTATCTCCACCACTCATCCATTGTCTTTTGCCCACCCTTCCTGCTTACCCTTGGACCTTTGCATTCCTAACCTGAGTTCTTACTGTGACCTCTTGCCTGAACTAACTCCTAACAGATCCTTCATTCTGACTCTAGCCAGTCTCCTGTTCTTCCCATGAGCCCTCTGCTCTGATAACCACCATGGACTTTTCAGTTTTTCCCCCAAATATATTTTATTTTCTTAACCTAACTCTAATTCTGTAGATGATTGATACCTTTTCTTTCCTTCTTTGCCTAGAACACATTTATCTCCTGATGTCTGGCTCTGCCTGATAACCTCTGTCTCAACACTTTATTAAGCTGCATTTTAATTGTCCATTTACTTTTATTGTCTCTATCAGTTGGAGTAGAGGCAGGGACTTTGTCTGAACTCTGTATTCCTAGCATCTGACATGGTTCCTGGCAAATGGCAGGCACTTGTTAAAGGCTTGCTGGGAGGTTGCTGGTTGTTTCACAGTTTTTTCACTAAGCATAGGCTTTTATTTTGGCGCCTGGATTGAGAGACCATTCTGATGCAATGGCTTAATTATAATGGTTCCAAACCCTTTCATTTTAAGAGGCACGGATGTTATGTGACTCATGAGCCCTGTTGTATGTTTTCAGTTTTATGTTCTTTGATCTAGAAAGAATACTTGCTCTTAGTAAAGAGAGTAAGTTCTAAATATCTCTGTAATTCAAGGCAAGTTGTATAATATAGGCTTCTAGATAAGGAACAGTTGTTTGTTCCCCACTACTTTTCGGTTCCCACACCCAATTCCAATGCATGTGTGTGTGTGTGTTGGGGTGTCTTCCCGCCCACCACACCAAGCAATTCTCGAACACCAACAGGGTATCCAAGAGCTCAATTCTGACACCACCTGCCTGGAGACAGCATAAGATTTCCCCAGGCTAAAGGCTCCATCCTACAAGACTGCCCCCCATCCCACAACTAGCCAGTCGCAAGCCCCAGGTAGTTCCCTGTGCTCTGACCAACCCACCATAGATTGGGCATTCCAGTGACCTCCCTCTTAGGTTTGATTGATTTGCTAGAGCAGCTCACAGAACTCAGGAAAACACTTACATTTACCAGTTTAATAAAGGGTACCATAAAGGGTAAAGGATACAAGTTAATAGCCAGATGAAGAAATATATAGGACAAGGTCCCAAGTAAAGGAGCTTGTACTCTCGTGGAGCTTGGAGCCTGGTTGGGTGGCACATGAAAGTGTTCTGCTTCCCCAAGTGTAGAAGGTCTCTCCAGCAGAGAAGCAGGATGCAAAAGGAAGATATGCTTTTCTCAGGGGTTTTTGTAAGGGCTTCATTGCATAGTCATGATTGACTAAATCATTGGCGATTGGCTGATTCAACCTTCAACCTCCTCCCGTGGGTGGGGTCCAAAAGTCTCATTAAATGACAAGACATCCATTTCACCTTTAAGGCCCTGAAGTGTCTCAGGAACTGTCGATGAAGACCAAATATCCCTGGGAAATACATATTTGGTTATCTGAATGACCAGATACGTATATTATAACTCATTATATTGCAGTTATATAAACTGTTCTGTTCTTATTCACTTTTTGCTATCAATAACATCAGCCATTTCACTGTGAATCATTAAAGGCAAAATATGAAAGGGAAAAGGGAGCCTTTCACATTTCAAACCTTCAGAGGGCAAGGAGTGGAGGGATAGATACATTAAAGCAGTTGTTCCTACCAGTGGGCCTGGCCATCCTGGGAGATCACAAGTATTGTAAGGGGTTCATGAATCCACAAATACTTTGCTGTTATCTGAATAATTAGCGTATCGATAGTGACAAGTTATTCTGCAGAAGTTTCTATATGCCATTTTGGTTAATTAAAATATGAATTTATTTGAAAGCATTACTGTGTTATTCGTGGTGGTTACTTATTGCTTACATCAGTGGGTGGAGAACAACTACTATCCTACTATTCCACATTTTTTTTTTTTTTGGTCCTTGGAAAGGGTCCTTACATGCAAAAGGCTGGGGATCAAAAGGGTAGAGTATTTTTTTTAAATTAAAATTGTGGTAAAATATACATGACATAAAATTACCATTTCAGCTATTTTTTTAGGGTACAATTCTGTGTCTTTAAGTACATTCA